ACGACGCTGAATCGGGATCTTAGGATGGATTTACTGTGCGTTTGAGAATGAATGCATTGAGTGACATCTGCACCCACGAGGGACCCACAGCTTCCGTGCCCTTCATCACCTCTCTGTGAAATTTTCAATAGAATCCACTTAAATGGCACAGTTTGCTAGTTCACAATCACAGATGCTGAGTCAGAAGACCCAGAGGAAAGAACAGGACTCTTTTTTCCCTTCTTTGGAGATGCTGAAAGGACCCAGCAGTGACGCAGATTTTCCGTACTATCCTTTCCCTTTGGGACACGCCAGGGAAAGCCCACGGCGCAGGTAACCAGGGGCATGGATTGACAGGAAAAGCCACCCCACATCCTCACTGAGCCCCGGGGTGTCTACAAAGGTACAGCAGGCAGACCTCAAACCTCAATCCCCACACCGTGACCCACGGAAGTCGCTCGCACCCACCGTGACTACCCCATCTCTCGACAGGGCAAGCCCTTTACAGTTTAAAGAAATCATTGACTCGATCGGGTGAGTGGTAATTAAAATGTGTTCACCCAACAGACAGGTATTATTTTTATAATAAGAAAACCTGTTTGTAGAGAGGTGTTTGCATCCCAGATAGGAAATGGAAGAGACAAGCCAGGAACCTCCCCGACCTGGGTTTTAACATGGGCACTTTTTGAGCAGCATAGGTTCACGGCTGGGGTGGGGAGGGGTGTGATGTGTAGGGCAGGGATTGGGGCGCAGGGGGGAGAGTCCCTAGTTTCTCTCGACTCCCTTCCGATGGCTGGGTAAGGAAATCACTTCACGCCTCCCCCTGGCGTGCGGGCCCCAGGCAAGGGAAAGTGAAAACAACGAGGGTAGGTAGCCCCAAGTTTGTCACCATTGCAGAAACTCAGAGATCCAGGGGTCCTTGGGGCCATTAACCATCCCGCGGTCACGCTTGGGGCCTGCACACCTGTCTTCTTGGATGCCTGCCCTGCTCAACAGAGTTGCCATTCCCTTCACAGTAACCGGTGTTTTTAGACCTCAAGCCAACCCTGTCCAACTGTACCGCTCTCTGGTCTTAGGTGGGTGGTGGTTAGTGCTGGGGAAGATCAGTCCATTTCCTAAAGCACTTTGCGGACGTGAACTTGTCCATCTGCATGATGTGCTTAGGAAGATGCTGATGTGGCCATGGCAGAGGCCCAGATCTCAGAGCAATTAGGAGGTCCGCCCCGGCTCGCGGGAGGACCCGCGTCAGCATCGGGCGCAGCGTCTGGGAGGCCCCAATGCTCAGCTCAGGGGACTGGATGAGGCAAGCAGGCATCCAGCTGCGCATCCTTGTGCGATTCTCAGGGGCAGGCGGGCGCCCGCCAGACA